TATATACATACACATACATACACATACACATACATACACATACACATACACATACATACACATACATATACATACACATACATATACATAATTATCTTTTATTTATCTATCAAAAATATAGCTCTCTTTCCTGTTTTTCTGCTTGGTTGCATGGCTCAAGGGTATTAATCTTCACATTAATACAGTAGTCCAAATGTAGATAAATATAAAATTAATTGTACAAATATGTTTTCCCTGCTAACTCAACACAATTTATAAGTAGTATTCTAAAATATTTCATTGTTTTCCCATAGTAAAAGTAAAGCAGATTTTCATCAAAACTATTCAAAATTCGGTCTTGATAACATTTTTAAAAAATCTTGAAATACGTTACGACTCTAAATAGAATATTTTTGCGGTAGTTGACATGCCAGATTTTGCTTTATATGAGGATGTGCTTGTAACAAATTTTACCTTTCAAGGTCAGTTACAGTAGCTCTATCTTTTGGGAAAAATAAAATGTTATCACATAATTGTTAATATTTATATTTCTTAGAATGCTAATCTCTAAGTACCACTTCGCAAATTTTATTTAAAACACAGCCATAGATAATATTAAAAGGCAACATTCAGTACAAAGTTCTTAACCACTGGTTTGCATAATTTTCACAAATATTGTGTAATTAAAAAAAAAGAAGCAAACTCAGATGATGAATTTCAGTGTGACCAAATTATGAGAGCATAGTTTATCATTATCAGCCATTAATTAAATTTCTGACGCTTGACTATCTACTAAAAATGATAACAGTACATCCAGATGTTAGTTTCAGATGTATACTAACCTTTGAATTAAAAAGATAGGCCCTAATGATCTACTAGTATTTGCTATTCAGTGTAGGTTCCAACAATAGAATCCAAATTAACCTTTACTTTTGTAGCATAAAGTATTAAGAAACTTCAAGCTGAGCTGGGAGCTGAACTTTGTAATTTTTGAATAATATTGACCAGTATGTAGAAAACATAATATAGTCCTACATTTTTTTTAAATTCTAGTAGGCCTAAATTGTAGAACATATAAAGTAAAATATACTTTAACCAAACATCACATTTTATTTAATTTGAAATGGAATGATGGGATTATGATGTAGGCCTACACTATATGAAATTATGTAAGTCTACTGTACGTACTGCACTAGAGTAATGAAATTAATTATAAATAAAAAATATAACAGCCTGCCTTATGATGTTATAGGAGTTAATTCATGAGAGATCTCTTCCTATTCAAGCCGACATAATTATTTTTAGCATCCAACTTTAATAGAAGAATAAATAATAAGTACAAACCTTCAGGGATTCCACTACCAATCGCCGTCCAGGGTTTGCCCAAACGGTATCATGTGTCATGTGCTTTTTTTGTTGCGCAACAGTAAAAAGTACTGTACGCAATTTAGCAGTTACTGTACCCCCTATCGCATTGCAATCATAAACATTCATTATTGTATATGACAAGTATATATTTGTTCATTTTTTTTCTATACTTACGAAAGTATCAGTGCCTTGTACACATGCTAGACTTGGTACCAGATTGGCTTTGGTAAACGCAGTCTTCATAGCTTCGCATTTTGCTTGTTCATTTGTCGCGACAGTGCACCATGTTGCTAAATCAAAACATAAATGAAAATGCAAAAATTACAATTATTATTATTATTATTATTATTAAATTATTATTATTATTATTATTATTATTATTATTATTATTATTATTTGTCAATTATAAATTGACAAAGAAAAAAAATGTGTAAAATGAATATACAGGTACTGCAATATGAATTTGACAATATTTATATTGTCAAATTCATAATGCAGTATGAATTTGACAATATTCCAGTAAATTTACAAAGAAAATGTAGATACTATTTGAATAATCATTTCAATTCAACTATGATGTGATGTGGGTATCCGAGTTTAAATTATCCAGGCCCAGATTCTGTCTATGAAGTTCAGTAATTTGAAAATCATGTTGATATGATAAAATTAGTATACATGCGTTTTAAAAGCCACAGCTAAAAAAAAACAAAAAAAAAAAAACCCCCCCCACAAAAAACACGAATTTCAGTTTAATGCTGGCATTTGAAAGCCTGAGTACCGTCGGTATTTCTAATGTTTTTAATCAACAGTAGTAAATCCTCCAACTCAGAAGGCATACTGCACGATGCAGTGCATCATTCCAATACAGTACAGCCTCCAACTCAGAAGGCTTACTGCACGATGCAGTGCATCATTCCAATACAGTACAGCCTCCAACTCAGAAGGCTTACTGCATGATGCAGTGCATCATTCCAATACAGTACAGCCTCCAACTCAGAAGGCCTACTGCACGATGCAGTGCATCATTCCAATACAGAGCCTCCAACTCAGAAGGCCTACTGCATGATGCAGTGCATCATTCCAATACAGAGCCTCCAACTCCGAAGGCCTACTGCATGATGCAGTGCATCATTCCAATACACAGCCTCCAACTCAGAAGGCCTACTGCATGATGCAGTGCATCATTCCAAATTCAACACCGAAGTCAAAAGCCAATTTTTTTTCACTGCATATGATGGCTGTAAGGGGGCCCCGTAGCCCGAGCCTTTTAACGTGTTAAGCACAGCATGATCCAAGCATGGAATTTGATCCAAGTCATTCAACTTTAAAGTATCTCCCAGTAGTTTCAATGCAGATAAAACCTATGGTATGTAATTCTGTGTGCATCACTTATGTCCTCACACTCACATAATTAAACTGTTCTCTTTGTTTAAAATGTTACTATTATATATATATATATATATATATATACTGAATCCCTTCAACAATTTGCGTAATTACAGTATGTAACCTTTTTTTTTTTAAGGTGTGAACAGGCCTTTTTTCTTTATTTTATTCTTAAACACTATCTACAGTAACTATGCACAAACAATATATCAACTGGAAATGTCCCTGGATGGAAGTAACAAATTAAAGTTACACAAGAGACTGAGTGCAGGAAGCTTTTATAATTGAAAGATTTACAGTGACTAGTCAAGAGATTTACAGAACAAAAACAACTTCAAATGATGTTCTAAAGTTTTGAGGTCTGGATTTATAGCTCTTACAACACACTTTTTTTTTTATAAGAATCAGTAAAATTTTTTCTTATTTTTTGGCTGATTTCAGGCTCAAAATGTTCTTATTTTGTTCTTATTTTACATACTTCCCAAAGATAGAAATTTGTTACTGTACAGCGGTATATTGCTGTACTGCATTTTTTAGGGTATTACATAAACCTGCCTACTGTACATTAGGTGCAGATAAGATTTGTTTTTTTTTTCTATACCTCAACCTCAATTTTTTTCTTATTTTGTTCCTAATTTTCAAGCAATTTCAGCCTCAGTGTTCTTATAAAATGTGTTCTTATAAAAAAAAGTGTATGCTATACGAGGCTTGCCATCCCAAATATAGGCATGTTAGAGTGATGACGTCACGCACGACGATTCCACACAAACACAGTGCAACAGAAATTCATCCGAATATATTAATTAAAAATATTTAAGTCCCGTTTTCCGAAATAAACTATAATTATATTTATTAGTAAAACATATATTTTATGATAATACTTTATAATTATGACATTCAAAGTAATACAATGTCAGAGTAATTTAGTTGACAACGTTCGGAACATCAGCATTGAGCATGCACTTCAGTTGGCCTCGCTTTTCTGGGTTTCGCGAGGGAAGCCTTTGTTTTGAACCCCATTTTCTTTGTATTTGTAAGGTCAGTGAACAAAAACTGACCAATCACATCGATTCTTCAAGCATTCAGCTTTCTACACATGTTTAGCGAACTTTGATACAATGTTTACTTCGGAAGTTATGGTGATTTGAAAATTTGATGAAGTTTTTTTGGGTTTTATTTGATTTTTTAAACATAAATACAACAATCCTGCACTGTACACACACTGTCCGTAGCATGTTTACACAGGAGAAGAATTGTACTTGATTACAGTAGTAGTGCATTATTTACTATGTGTTTGCCGACAATGGTGTAAATAGGAAAAACCTAACTGACATATTTAAAAGTTAAAACCGTGGACGGTGTTTGTTTTTTTTGTGCAATAACATCGTTTACCTGGTTAACGCGGGTAATGATCAGGAAACCGCGGTGCACGAAGTACAAATTGGCACCATCCCTTACTTATATTTAACTCATATGCAATATGTGCCGAGTGTAAATTATTATTATTAAATTATATGAGATGGAAGCTAACAAAGCGGAATTTTCCCTTTAATATTCCTATTAGGCCAAACAGTTTCTCGTCCCCTCTCGCATTCCATTTTCTCTGCCTTACCAATTTTTTTTTTTTATAATTTCTTTATTTTACGAATGTGCAAAAACTTGGCTAACTCGCATCAGTAAAATTCCTCTCTCGATTGTTCATGGTTGGGGATACATATGTACAGTATGGTATGAATCATGTCTAGTGCTTCATTTATCTGCTGTCAATTGTCTACTTGGTAAAAGTGAGAAAGCAGTACAGTAGCTGTTTCCTATCAACCATCTTGGATTTGCCATCAGAGAGAGTAAAAAAAAAAAAAAAAAGTGCCCTTATTTTCCTTTTTTAAAATATTAGGACGAGAAGATAGTTATTTTTTCACTTGGCCTATAAATCAATGAGAAAGTTAGAGGTCTGTCAGAAGTTTCATGGTTTTGGCGGGCAAGATAAAAAAAAAAATAGAATGCAGCAGGTTCACGAAACAATTACCCTACCCACCTCGGACGCTCGACTTTATAAAGTATACACAAAAAACAGCTGGCGAGAGCATGCCAGTGGATGCGATCTACAACCTCTTAATTTGCCTACCTACTGTAGACCTACTGTAGGTAACAAAGAAGTTGAGGAAATTTTTGAAAATGGCATCGCCATGAGAAATAATCTCAAGGCCTAGGACTACTTCTCATTTTTTTTTTTTCTCCTTTAGCACAAAACAAAAATTTATGCAAATAAATGACCTGGTGTATAATAATTAGATAATGCATATTTTATGATTTTTTTTGGTTTTTTTTGAGAATTTTGCCGGGAATGAAGAACCCATTCAGTTCCGTAAGCGCTTAAAGCACTCGCTAATTATCGTCATCAAATAATTAATTAATTAACGATAATTTTAAAAAAACGTATGTGCATTAAGGTGTATTGTATTTTCATTAAATATTCAAGAAAATATCAAAATTTTTTATAAGAAAATCTTCCGAAGTATTTGATCAAAAATTACAAATTTATTTTTATTTTGTAAAGGAATAATTTGTGCTGATTTGAAGATGCATTTATTTATTCTGACTGTTGAATTTTTATTTTTAATCTTTTTTCAAAATTATTGATAAAAATTAATTAGGCCCTAGGGTAGGCATATCAGGCCATATTAATTATCAAACCCATCTTGTCCAAACTAGGTTAATATGGCAGATCTGTTATTCTAGATTACAATGCTTTTTACAAAATGAAAATATCTCAACCCAATCCAGAGAAATAGGATTTTCAAGACTGACATTCAGCCTCTGTTTTTAGAAAAGCGACTAATGAAAATGTATAAAGGTCAAAGGTTAAGTGGGAGACTAGCTTATTGTTTTTTATAGTCAAATTAGACACATTTTATGCCATAACTCAGTCAATAATACGCCAATTCATTGGGAGAAAATTGGCAACATGTATGATTGGAGTATGGGGATGAAGATGAGTTTGTGAAGAAAAGAAAATAAAATATGCAAAATAGTACCTAATTAGCATAATTAATTACTTTACAGCACTAAAGTTCATGATCCACAAAATATGTAATACTGGTACTAAAAAAACTTTGAATGGCTTAAAATAGATTGCTGTCCGCAAGAAACTGGACAAATAAGTAATTAATTAGGACTAATTAAGCTAATTAGGTACTAATTAGGCTATGAAACAGTAATTCATTTGATACATGACTTTCGAAAGAGGCAGAAGCTGTGTGACAACGCCATTCAGGTACAGTAAGCAAAGGCTTTTTAATGGGTGATGCACTGTAAATAAAGCCTGTTCATGTCATTAATTAATTAATAATTGATTAATTGAATAATTAGACTAAATGAGTAAATAATTAACCATTTAAGACTCCTCTCTAAAAGTACTTACTGTACTGGACATGTACCTGTAGGCCTAGGCCTAGACCTGTACTGAAACTTTCAGGGTGGGTGGATAGATACAAATTGTCCTTCAACATTTGTTAAAAATTGTTTAAAATTTACTGTTTTGATGCTTGACTCTACAAGAAAATTTGTTTAATTAACTTAAAAATCAGTAATAAGCAAACCTAGGTGGCTTAGCTAACCTTATCCCAAGGCCGTAATGATGCGCCAAGCGCCCTGCGCCCATGATTTGAGCGTTGGTAATCGTGGCCTAAGCTGTCTACACTAGGGATGGCCTTAAAACTTTGCTAATTCCGACAAGGTAATTAAAGTTCAAATAAACAGTTATATATGTTATTTAAATTTATGATAGTTGTTCTTAGTTGGGATATTGTCAGAGTTTAGTGAAATATATCGAAAGTGAAAAAAAATTACATTGAAATCTTCAACTGCAGGCTGTTTCTGATCCACTCAACCTAGAAATTTGCTGAATACGTCATCAGAATTGGTAAAAAGTTATTTACACGATCCCAATGGAGATATAATGAATACTAATGAGGAAATCGGTTTGGAAACCAATAAGAAGCGTGCATGGTTGAATCGATTTGTTGTGAAAAAAGCGACCAGTTCACAACATCGGCGCTTATCGGCAGGTCCGTTGGTGGCATCCCAAATTCTACTCACTTTCATTTAATAACTAGTGAACGGATTTTAATGGGTGTAAATTGCAAACGAAAGCAGAAGTAAAAAGCAATCTAATGGTGTTTAAAATATTACATAATGATATATGAAATAGCTGAGAAATGAATATTTAAAATCGTAACGCTGCTCCTGCGATGTTGTTTTCGGTCCGCGACGTTTTCACGTCGTTTACGCGAGCACCTAACATGCCTACCTAGGGGGAGGGCCTAAAAAAATTAATTAAATTAAAATATTAATTTTTTTTTTCTATTTTTAAAAATTTCACAACACTATATAACCACTTACTTAGGAAAAACATTTAAATTTTATTATCTTTCAATTCTTATCAAAGAAATTTGTATTACTCTAACAGAAAAAATTATATTTAATTATTTTTATGTCACTAAAAAAAATTCAAAAAAGAAATTTGAAAATGTGGGACTGAATGGGATAAAATTTAAGATTAAGAATGATGCAACAGCTGCTTCAATTCAATAATAAAAAACGGTCTCTGAAGTTGGAGAAATACGACCTGTTATATAATGATCAGGGAAATGCTATTCTATTACCTTATTCATTTTGGTGAATTAAGCCTAGTGTCAGACCAAGGTTGTACTACTAAAAGTAGCCCACCTAGGGCCTAGGTCGAAATACACGATGATGATGACCCACGTGTTGCCTACTACTACTATATAGTACTACTGCTGCTGTTGTTGTACAGTAAAGCAAATTAAGTGCTGGCCTAGCTAGGCCGTAGTAGTAATTAATTAATAATAAACTGTAGGTCTGTTACTAGTAAGATCTTTTTCAAACGAATCGAACACATAAACCATTACCTGTTGTTGTTTGAGATATTGTAACGCAAATCTGGGATGCTATACTCAGACAAATCAGTGCTAAAAATTGCTGCATCATTGCTACTTATTCTTGCTGTGTCTCAATCCGTCCTACCTCAACTCAGGCGAAAGATTGGAATTTCTTCCAACCTGCAAAAGCACACGTACCGCGTGGACTACAGTAGGACGAGACCATTGTCTTCAAAGGGCATTTAAAAACAATATAATAACTCCCTGATATTGAACCATCCGTGGAATAGCCTGGGTTCCAGGCCCTGATTTTAGGTTACTCACTCTTTATTGCACTTAGTGCGCGTCATACCTAATTTAATTGGCGTCCCATACTCGATTTCTTTTTTTTTTTCAATAAAAATAAGAGATTTGCGGCAAGTCTATCCGTGGAACTAATAAAATCCGTTTACAATCGCTATCCCCAGGGGTGGCCATATCCGGAATAGGAAGTGATACAGCAATGTTTTGCAAATAAGGGCCTACAGTAAATTTTGGAATGATATCCAGTAGGCCTATTATATTCGTGAACCATGCTAAGCCTATATTACTCTACCTTAAAAGTTAATTTATTAACGCAAGGCGCAATATAAAAAATGAAAAACTAAAATAAAATAATCTCATCGTATATGGTTGTCATGGGCAATCATCAAAACTATCATCATTGTCATCATCATCATCATAATCAACCGCATCATCATAATTATCATTGATCAATATCAATTCATTCTTGAAATTTTCCGCTTGTTAATTTGAGAGGAAAATAAATGTCACGATCTCCCCTTTTACGTAGGATAGAAAGCGATGTACAAGTATCTTGTATTGAACAGTTTATTCTCAATACTTTGATAAATTAGACATGAAAATGCTATAAACACTTCAATTTGAATGTGTCTACGTGTATATTAGACCTGAATGGTGCCTATATCTTTCTCTAAAAATAGATGACCTCATTTGTTTGCATGAATATACAGGCTCGTCGGAAGAAAATTTGTATTGGTCCGGCCAAATGCGACGATCCCCACACCACCCCTCACCTTCCCCATGAGGAGGGGGTGGGGTTGGTGGTCCCAATGGAAAACCCTTTGTTAATGAACTATGTCCTTTCACGGCATCGTAGTCTTGCCGGTATTACGCAAGAAAACTTTACATTTACAGAGAAGATTTCTACCGACATATGTAAGGGGCCCAGACAAACTTTAGAGGTTTAACAAATCACGCAGAAAAATAGACTATTTCAAGGTTTCTTTATTGAAGTTTTTTGCAGTCTCTCCGTAGACTTCCATATCACTGACAAATGGAATTTAAACGGATCATTGTTTAGTGTGGCAGGTTACTACTGTACACAATTAATGCAATATTGTACAATGTCTGTTTATATTCACGAGTTGTTGCCGGATATATTATGTGTTGTATGCAATGAATATCTATATTTTCGGATTGCACAAGGTACGGTATCTTACAATCATTATAAAACTGAATATATTTTAATGCTTTGGATGTGATGTACAGTACCGGTATCATTAAGAATTTTATCAAGTTGCCTAAAAATATACCAGCCTATGTTGTACTGAATTATTTCTTAGCAGTTTTAAATATTCAGTTAATTCTTGCTTTATTAAAGATGCAGTCAAATAACGTACCAGATGATGAACTTGTATTAAAAACAGCCGTTTTATAACATACATTAATGTTCAATTGTTTAGTGTCAACTTTTTTTTTTATCCCACGCCGGACATCATCCCGGTATTTCAGAGTCTATGTTTCGGGGACAGAAGATTATTATTTACGTGGTGAATCAAATCATGATAAATAAGCCTAAGCTATTGATACTTAACTATAGTAAAAATGAAATAATTTCAAATGTTTTCCATATTTTCAATAGGCTGAATGTGCAAGTTATGTTTGAAGTTTTTTTGGGTTTTTTTTACGTTGTAGTTGATAACGTATTTGATCCGTATAAATGACATATGTAACATTTGGATAGATTTTTTTTTACTAATAAGCATAACACTCGATTATACTTGTCCAAAATTTTAATCTGTATTATTTGGTTTGTTTTTGTTGTGAGACTGTACTATTGTGATATATGGGCCACTCCCCTCCCACTCCTCCCCTCCCCCGTTGGGAAGAAAAACCACAATTCGAAGGGGAGAAAAAAAATTATATGTAGGCCTATCCTGGACGGTTTTCGAGATCTTTTAAGCGACGCTCGACCACGCCCACTTTGTTATTGTGATGAAAAATCTGACCCCTCGTTAAGGGCATCGTCAAGGTGCCACCCCTGGACAGCTTAGGGCGGGTACTACTACATGTAGACAAGGTTGACTGGTTTAAATATTTAAAATAAAATTTGGCTTATAAACGATATTGAGTTGTAAATTATTGGTTCGGCTAAAACATTACCAGCCGGACCGCTTCCGACGCCCTTGATATACGCGTTATAGTAGTTGAATAATCCGGAATCATAACCACATAGATTAGTACGACTATAGAGCCTACATCATCTGATACATTAATACAGGATATCCGAATTGAGTGATGAAAAGTTGTGAACGCCGACGATAACCCTGCTGAAGTCAGATCAAGACGTATGGTATCAGATGTAAGAAGGCCAACTACTATGTAAAACCATATTTTATATTAATGCATGGACATAACCAAAATTTTCAAACGAGGGAGAACCGCCTTGCGAGGTAGGACGGCAAAGATCATGGGAGCGGGCCCGACGAATCAGGGACGTAGCCAGGATTTTGAAAGTGGTGGGGGGGGAGCCGTTATGCGAATTACGTATGACCCCGGCGGGGTCCCGGGGGCGAATTCCCCTGTGAAGTAGCGCAATCTGAACGTTCTTAGGACTGTTTTGAGAGGATAAAGTGAAAATTGCAATATAAATTGTATTATAAATAAGTGCAACAATAATTATATAATAAATCAACAACCTGATCCAGGAATTCGAAAGAGAGGTGAACCAGGGAGGGACTTTCACAGACCGAGGAACCACCCACCTCAGCACCACCGTGGTTAAGGTTGAGGTTAAAAAATTTAGGATTAGGGCATCTCTGGATGGCCGGAAATAACACTCTCACACTTAAATTTGAATGTATTTTTCTTTTTTTTTTCTCTTAAAAAAAATGAAGGGAGGGGGGTGGCGAGCCTAGAATCCTCTGCTCAAAACATTTTTATCCAGAATAGTCATAATCACGAAAAATTGACATGAAAAACAAGATCGACATCCTAAAAACATCAGGAGCCAACTCGATAGAGTTTAATGTCATACCCAGGGAAGGGCACAGATCTGTTTTGAAAGGTGGCGCACGCACCTCAGACCCACCATGGTTGGAGCTGAGGTGAGAAAATTTGAGGAAACAGTACCTCTAGATCGACGTTCCGCAAACTATGGTCCGCGGCCCAAATTTGGCCGCGAAACATTTTTAGAGGGCCGCGAAGCCGTCTGGAAATTTAAAAAAAATAACAAAGAGACGTTTTATCATGGAGACAATTTTTAATAAAGCCGCTTCACTGTTACAGGAATGAGTCGCTTGCACACGCTGCTGAAGTGCCAGATGATGCGTGCTATTTGAATAATTATAAGCGGTTTTGTGTCTATGCCCACTCGGGAGCCTTTATCTGTATAATTTTATTCCTGATAGTGCTAGTATGCAACATTATTTTCTATAAATAAATATACTGTAAATATACCCTTTTTAAGCATTAAATACATGTCAAGCGCGGATCCAGAGTTTACCCTGGCTCGCACAGATGGCTTCCCATATTGGGGTAATCATGAGAAGAAAGCTAGCTTGTTTTGTCGCTGGAAGATAAATTTTAGATATTCGAAAAGTTTTTGTTTTCTAGATTATTTGAAATACACTTCGTGCATTATGAGACGTTTATTATTGAATACACCCTGAATTCATATTTTTTCACTACTTTGCTATGGACAATTAATAATTATGATGATGAAGAAACCTGACCATTTCACTTCTCGTGGCTATTGCCCTGCTATGACGTGTGTGGCTGAACCGTGTTTGGTTGAATCATGGTAGAAAGAAAAAACAATCAACAATTGTCGGAGGGTGGGGGTAGGGAAACACAAATGTACGGTATTATTTATTTATTAAAATAATATTTAATTTGTATACAATAAAATCTTATCACTTAGAGAACAGATAATGATGTCAAAATATTGTATATACATGGAGGCTTCATGATCAAAAGTTCTTGCCAAGATTTGGTATGTTGGTCCCTGGCGCGGCCGGCTTGCTGGGCCGCGGCTTGGTGCCTGGAATCATAAATAGGCCGTGAAGTAAAAAGTTTGCGGAACGCTGATCTATTTAATATCCAGGACAACTTAGGCCTAACTATCTTACTAAGCTTTAACTATACTATAATAATTATGATCAACACTCACAACTTTTTTTTGCATTTAGCACAATTTTCTTCACTTTTTATTGCTATTAATATTATTATCAATTATTATTATCGTCATCATTATCATCATGATGATCATCATAATCATTGTTATTATTATTTTTACTATTAGTATTAGTATTATTAAACAAAACTTGCAAAAGTATAAAAACGAAACTGAACCATACAGTATCGCATTTATATATCTTAAAAGACCTGGCCTGAGATTTATGGATTTAAGATTTTTTTAAATCACGCTTAGACCTATTAGGCCTATGTATAACTTATACTGATGCATATTTACATGTTTTAGAAGTATTCACTTTGAGTGATCCCAGGAAAGAATTTGTATTGGCTCAAGAATAAGCTTTAAAATTTTAACGCTGTGTACAAAGGGGGGGGGGGGAGCGGCTCCCTTGGCTCCCCCTGGATACGTCCCTGCGACGAATTATCCAAATAATAGGGAATTACCCAAATGATACACAATTACCCAAATGATACCCAAATTACTGTCCCATTGTTATGAACTTTGACCTTTTAGTTTATAGTTAGTAAAAAGCAGTACTCTTATTTAACTATTTGAACTTAAGAATGACTTCATGATGGAGTCGAAACGTCGTTCCTTAATTAGCGTTATTTTAACTATTGATACCCAAATGATACGGAATTACCCAAATGATACGGAATTACCCAAATGATACATAATTACCCAAATGATATGAATTACCCAAATGTG